CTAACTAACTGCATGATTTTGTTAGCTCACATTGCTACTTTTGTAGTGAACAATTCATCTGTGAATGTCATTTAAGAAAAAAAGTTTGCTCTTCTATTCGTTATTGAAATCTGGGAATGCATTTTCTGTTTGTTTTCAGTTAAATTATCAGTGGCTTGATTTTGAGGTAATGAGCGTGGCTAACATATTTAATCATGCTGCTCCAACTGTCAGTTTTGACAACAAACAGAAATGGTGAGGAGGAGGTGTCTGTTAGGTTGTAATAACTCTTCACAAACCCTTTTCCCGATCTCTCTGAATGAAATGTCTACTTTGCTACATCCATTCAGCTTGCAGTAGAAAAAACAAGCCACGCCTACTGCTGTGTCATGTAATATTCAGTTTCTCTAGGAACTGTGTCACAATACGAAATAAAATAACGGTCGCAGCTTCCAGTTCATGGTGACTTTAAGTAAACAGTACCTGTAGGAAAGTGACAATGTGTCATTAGCACCTCGGTGCTCATGTCTATGTATAATGTGCTATGTGTGTAAGATTTGTCTCCGCTTTAGGTTGTGATGTGCACACTCTGCTGATGAAGTGTAAGGAAATACTTAAACACGAACACTACCCAGTACTCCACTACTGTTGTGTATGTTTATTTGCGCTTGCTTTTAATTTACACTTCGCTAACACATGTATGAGATTGTTTTAAAGACTTCGTTTTTTGGTGTTTACATGTACACGATAATGGTGACATCTTCAAAAATGTCCACTTTGATTCTTCCACTTTTGAAATGTGTGTATTTTCAGTCCCAAAAACATTGTCCTGTAAACAAACAGGCAAACATATAAAAAGTTGTCAGTTTTTGGCTTAAAACTGATTGTTTGGGTGTTTCCCACACAGAGGGTTCATGAAGTAATGGGCAGGGTTGCGGCAGGATGGGCATCCATTGGTAAAACCTATGCGTAATTGGTGGCTCATTCTACTGTGGTGACCCTCGATAAAGAGGAGAATAAGCCAATGGGAAGTGATTGAGTAAATAGACTTGAGTTATAGGATCGTTCTCACTGTATTCTAATTGGCTTCTTCACACAGAGATTGTGTTTTGTTTATTTTTTTGCAAAATGAGTGACCTGCTCAATTATGTCATCTCTTGGTAATTGAAATAATTGTGATATTATTGTAGAAAACAAGCGTTATCACAATCTTGATAAAATGTGAGTGAGATCATTTGTCAAAGTATTTTTTTTTTCACACAGCCTGACCTAAACAAGATTTGTATTTGCAAAGTGTAAGTAAATAAAGAGCCAGGGGTCAGATGAAATGTCACAGAGAGTGGATTAAAGGTCAAGCTGTAGTGGGACAGGTGGGTTGACAGGTCCCAGCGTGATGTTATTGGCAATGGTGACGCAAATTGGAGACTTCAAACAATTTGAACGAACGGACAGGGATTGGCCCGTCTCCCGTCTTTTGAGCCCTGAGGGTTTGCCTGGCTTTCCTTTTCCTCATTAACTCAGCCATGACGGCTCCATGATCTATGTTTCTGTAGACCTCACACTCACGTTTATTCCCTCATGCCCAGTGCATGACAAAAAATCTTGCTTGATGAGAAAATTCTCAAGCTCTCTCCAACTTCAAGACAAGTGTCTTAGCTTTGAATGTTGTGAATTCAAGCTTTTGCATCTCCTTTATAGATTTTGATTCACTTTTTATGCCATCAAATGAAGCTTTTATTAAAAGTAAGAGTAACCACCATAAGATTAATGTTCTGGATCTTCAATCTTGTTTTAAAGTTTTTCAAGCCTGCAGCATTGGCTTTAGCTCTTTGAGAAGGAAAGGCAACAGCAATGTCCTGGCAGTGCTATAGGGGTTTGTTTATAATGTAAGAACAATGGCCTGTACTGTTTCTCCTCTTTGAACCTCACTGGGAGGTGCAGCACAGGAATCATTTAGATCACATTCTACTGAGACTCTTTTCATGGGGTGGTTCCAGATATTTTGCTTGAAACCAGTAATAATATTCATCATTGGATGGTTGAGAAATCTTTGGTCTTAACCATTATTCACCTTTTTTATTTGTGCAGCCATAAAAAAAATGCTGGAAACATAGATCATTCCTCTTGGGGAGCAAGAACCTAACGATTTATTGGTAATTTATGAGCTGGCAAATCTTTTAAAACAACTGACGCAGCATGATGTGGGAAACAAATTGGGATTATGTGTGTAATGGTTTGGTGTTATATTCTTTGGAATGGTTTTGTGTGTTTTCATTTTCTGGATACTTGTGGTTCTACCTGGTTTCTCGTTTCCTTGTGGTATTTATATTATATATAGATATATTAGATATATTATGTGAGGAGCTTAGTTAATTTTGTTTCTGTTTAGGCTGGCCGATAATATGATGTTGATTCTTTTCCATTTGATAAAATGATAGCACATGTTCGATGCCTCAAAGTGCCATCCACATTTACTTTTAAAATGAAAATTGTTCTCAGGCTCCTTTGTTTAGCTTCAGTAATTTCACTTTAATGGCAAAGAATATGTTATTTTTATTGTATTTAAAGTGAAATAACTGAACAAAAACACCCTTCCATTAACTTGTAAATAAACAGAGATCCCACACTCATAGTTATAACTATCAACACTGACTATCAAGTTTTTTTTTTTTTATCATAATTGTGTTTTTCAGCCCTACTTTTGGTATTACATCAATATACACACTGCATTTGGATCCACTGCTCCTTTGTTTCTAAATTCTTTTTGTTACAGTAGTGAAAGCCAAATGTTAGGCAATGTCCAGTCAAACCTGCCACTTAAAAATGGTCCTCTCTATTTGAAATGCTCATGAATCGGTTTTCTTCGAATCTATAAAGGTTTCTGTGAATTTTAGGATGATGTTAGCATGTAATAAACATCAGGTCCGAGAGGAGTATCTAGAGGAAACAGCCGTTAAAGGAGAGCGAGAGCAAGCATAACATATAAAGCACATGAAAGCTTGTAAGAATGTGCTGTAAAAACAAGAGTTCCCTAGATGGGGATGGTGTGGACTAAATTCTTTGTAGCTATACAATCATTACAGGCTTTATCATACTTTGACTTAGGAGAACATCCCTTTCTGTTTGATACATGGGACAGTGATAATTGTAATCCCTTTTCCAAGTATCGTACGAGCAGTGACATCAAGCTACAAAACTACTCCTACATAGTGGTTTATGTAGGAGTAATGTATGTTTTGGTTTATGAGGTTTCCCACAATCCTGCATAGCGGATGTGGCTTATATAGTGGTGGACAGTAACTAGGTTTTTACTTCACTACTGTACATTTTTCTAGGTATCTGCTGTTTATCCGAGTATTTTTTCAGAAAGGTTTTGCTTTTATTTCACTAAAATCAAAAACAAAACATTGTACTTTTCACTCTACTACATTTCCTTGATATAGTTGAGTAAAAAGTTATTTTGAAGGGGAGATTTCATCATATGCTCAGAGATGCGATAGTAGTGTTTGATAGGTGAATGAGCTGAATTTTGTTGGTTAACCTGGTAAGTTGGTTCACAAATTGCATTGAACAATTAATTCATGATTTGGAGTGATCTGACCACATCTGTTCTCAACCCAACAACTCTCTGATTCAAATGATCCATTCAGAGTGAATCTTCAGTAAGGGACTGGATATACAAACCGATTTGAACGGGGTCAGTTTTGTTTTAAAACTAAACATGATGTTAATTTAGCGAAGTTTAACAAACTAATTTCGAGAGTAGCGCGTGATATAATTGATTACTGCTGGTCTCTTATCTGTAATCATTAGTAAGCCAATCAGATTATTCCAAACTCACTATAAATAGCCCGTCTAGCATTGCTCAGTCCACCCTATTTTCCTCCTTTACCACATGGAGCTCTCAAGAACTACTTGATCTCATACGCCCTTACATGCTTATTGACCAGGTGGGAGCCCTGGGCTCATTTATCTCCAAACTCAGGGTCTCTCCTGGGACAGCATGCCAAACCTGCTAATATTATCAAGCAATATCTAAGTGTGGAATCTTGAAATGTAAATTGATGATCATTTTGCTGTTGTGGCACATAATAAATACCAAATTAACATGATTACATAGTGTTCTTCTTAAAATGTTTACATTTTAAAAACCATGTTTTTTTTTTATAAACACACATAAAAACTATTTTTTTTAAATATTGTTTGTTTATATTGGTCCGCACACATTTACACAAATTTTCGTTTCATATACTATGGTAGATAATATATTTTGTTATTTGCACTTGTTTGCACAATTGAATTATCATGAATTATAATTAAGTATAACTTTTGTATATGATTGTATAACATTTGGTTACATCTTTTTTTTTGTGCAAAATAAACATTCATCAATAAGATACTTAAGTAGATTACAAATCAAGGACTTTTGTTCTTTCACTAAAACAATTTTGAAAAAGAGGACTTTATACTTTTACTGGATAATATTTTATGTAATATAATATATAGTATATGTTATAAAGTGTATTTGTACTTTTACTGAAGTGCATGATTTGTGTAGTTCTTCCAGCACTGGTTCCTTAGGCCAATAAACCTGTATGGTGGTTATTCAAAACCAGTGCTTGTTTGCAGATGAATATTTTACAGTACACTCTTCATTTGCAGCATGACTAGAGCACGTTATAATAATATATTGTTTATTTGTTGTTAAGCATTGCATAATTTGATACCAAAAGTATCCCATTTAATGTTTTTAAATCATTTAACAGTATTTCACCCAGTGGAGTTACAATACATGGTTTGTACATGATCTAAAGTTTAACATTTTTCATTAGTTACATGTTTGTAAAAACCCACAGTCAAACATAAAAAGAGACAAAACAGCATTGGTCTATAAAATATAAAAAAACAGGCAATAAATAAACATAACAAATGATGCAAAATACCACACACATATATACACAAAAATCATGCCATTCAAACAAGTCATTGCTTAATCTCACATATTATTTCTCATCCTCTAGGCGTGGAGTGCTGCATAGTCATGAGAGTAAAGGCATTGGAGATCTGGGTCTTCCTCGCTGGGAGCTCACCATCTGCCTTGTTGTTGTCGCCTTCATCCTCTACTTCAGCCTGTGGAAAGGAGTCAAATCCTCTGGAAAGGTGCAAAAACTCCAGATATAAACAAACTAGAATAATTATTGGTCACACTTCATTTTGATGGTCTGTTTGTTAAAGTAAGCTACATTGCTTCTACATGCCAACTAATTCTCATTAGATTGGAAGTAGACTGTTAGGGTTAGTGTAAGTTGCCATGTACTTGCAGAGTTTTTTTTATAATCAGTTAAATGTCTGTTGAAGCAGCAGAATCAGCAGATATTAAGCAGACAGTCTACTAATACTCAAATGGACCATTAAAATAAAGTGTTACCTAGTTGTGCAATATAGCTGTTTGATTTTAGCCATTTTATCATTGATAGGAATCTCCAGGCATTGGACAGACGTTCACAGAGCCTTATTTGTGTGTGGGTGTGAGTGTGTGTTCAGGTGGTGTATATTACAGCTACTATGCCCTACATAGTGTTGTTGGTGTTGCTGATTCGAGGCATCACTCTCCCTGGTGCAATGAATGGAATCAGGGCATATCTTCACATTGACCTAAAGAAGCTCAATAACCCTCAAGTAAGTTTATGTGACTAGAATCAGTCATTCAGCTTATTTGATGACCTCGTTGCAGAGATATATCACAAACCTAACATATTTTGCGTTTTATAGATGGCTTGTCACTCATTTTTGTTTGCTGCAGGTATGGATTGACGCAGCTACTCAGATTTTCTTTTCTCTAGGAGCGGGGTTTGGAGTCCTCATTGCCTTTTCCAGCTACAATAAATTTAACAATAACTGCTACAGGTATGACAAATCTTTGATACATGTTTGCCAATAATAATATTTGTCCGTGAACAGGTTCAAATCTTACCAGAAGAAGAATTTCAGTATTTATTTCCATTTCGTGTGTAAGCTCATAGTCATTCCAGTGCACTGAGACTGTGAAGCTGTGCCTCATAGGTTGAAGTTCTCATTGGAAAAGCAGCATGTCCCCACCAGAGATAAAACATAGGTAAAGTTGTTAGTGAGACCAGCAGGTGGCAGTCTCCTTGAGGACTTATTGGATAACAGTCAAGATGGTCGGATCATATTACAATATTCGTTTCAACGAAACTGTCTCTGATCAAGTGATTTGAGATGTTGCACCACTCGTTTGTGTGCTGAGAATTGAACCTCATCATATTAATGTTGCATCCCATGATTCAAGAGAAGCAATGTTAAAGAAGGGACACATGAATGCCGAATTTATTAAAAGAACATTAAAATGCAGCTCTTTTAGTAAATCACATAAATGAAAAAGAAACAAAGATTGTGCAGTTTTTCTTTCTGTTAAAGGATAAACTGTCCCAGTGGGCACCTTGATGTGAAAACAACATCAAATTCACATCACACATGATGAAAAAAAACATGTCAAAAATGCTTGATGATGATGATGACAAAACTTGATATCTTTTTGACATCCACACATTGATGCCATTTTAACCAACAAAATAAAAAGAACACAAAAAAGAAGTATACTATAATGAAAGTCCTTTAATTATTATTATTATTATTTTTTGGTTTGTTTTTAATGCCAATGATAATATTATAATGTCAATATGATGTCATTTTAATATCAAGGTAGTCAACTGGCATTAAATCAAGTAGCATTTTTAATAAGTTCATTTTGAAATTAGGGTGTGATGTGCAATGTAAGGTGCTTGATTGAATGTGTATTGCATTTGAAAATCTGAAATGTGCTCAAACAAATGAAAACCAAACCCAACCAAACATGACAGAACCTCAAAACAAAGCTCCCCAAGTTGGCCCTGTAAGTCTATGCAATTGATTACACATTTAAGTAATTCAACCTATTAAAGAAATTCTCAGAAGATAAAGAGCAGGGGTCCTTACACATTAAGTTGAAAAATTAGAAAATACCTTTTTTCAGAGGACATGAACTGTTCACAATTTTAAATTAAAATAGAAAAGACTGGGTGACACGGTGGCTAAGTGGTTAGCACTGTCACCTCACAGCAAGAAGGTCACTGGTTTGATTCCCGGCCAGTTCAGTTGGCATTTCTCTGTGGAGTTTGCATGTTCTCCCCATGTTTGAGTGGGTTTCCTCCGGGTGCTCTGGTTTCCCCCACAGTTCAAAGACATGCGCTATAGGTGAATTGAATAAACTAAATTGGCTGTAGTGTATGTGTGTAAATGAGTGTGTATGGATATTTCTCATTACTGGGTTGCAGCTGAAAGGGCATCCACTGCGTAAAATATTTGCTGGATAAGTTGGCGGTTCATTCAACAACATTTAAAATTAAGTTTCAAAATTCAAGATTTTTTTATTTGTATTTCTTATACTGCTTTTGTCTTCATGTAAACTCCAAAATACACAGGTCTGCCAGGATTATACTGGCCTGGATTTTACAGCAACCGCATTTATAGTCATTTTCATGCATCTGTGCAAAAGGATATCATTTTGCTAATGTTGGCGTCTGTACACAATATAAAAATTGGAAAGGAAACCACTGTAGTAATGTGTAATAATAATTCTTTCAAGTTTGTTTAGATTGATGAAACATTTAATTGGCCAAAGAAGGATAAAGTGGACATTTCAATTAATCTTTCTTCATATAGCGCTCTTTACAATGTAGATTGTGTCAAAGAAGGCTAACATAGATAATGTCATAGTAAATTGAAACTGCTTCAGTCCAGTTTTAATTGTTAGTTCAGTTCAGTGTAGTGTACATGTAAATGTCACTGCTGAAAGCTGAAACAGTAAAGAGCATCGATGCATAACTACGCTGCAGAAGTCTTCACCGATTGATGAAAGTAAAGGGGAAAAAAACGAGAGAAATTAATATTATTTCCTCTAACAATTTTAGTGTTTTGAAAGTGTGAAGAGGCACAGATTGACTGATTCCCTCAAGACTCAATTCCCACTTTGGTTGACTTGAGCTAAATTGTTTGCAATCATGCTTTTGAAACCTTGTCAATGTGTACTACTAAATCATGTTAATGACGCAATAAGCAGTATTGATTTCACATCACAAAATGCTGACGTCTATAGCTGAAACCCCACTGATCCAACAGGTTTTGCTCTCCAGGGCACAGATGTCCTACTAAGACCTGCAATCTACAGTTATGTCAAAATATTTGCTTTTATTTAATAACACAAAATAATGAAAAGCAATAAAAATGTCAGCTTGAAATATTCACGTTCACGTTATTTACATTTAAATAAGCTCATTTTCAGCAGCTTTTTTCACCTCTTTAGCATTTTGGCCACTATGGCAATATGTTGCAAGCAGACGGCTGTCCAGATTTATGCATTTCTTCACAGACTACACTAAACGGTTCCACCCTCAGTCACACACTTTGAAATGATTCAAATCAGACACGATGGACTTGGACTTGGTCTCTGTATAAATTGTTTGGTTATGAAAAAGGCTATTGTAATGTCTAGTCTCTGCAACTGGCAACTGTTGTGGGAACATGAAAACAAGCCTTCAAAAAAAACTGAGCTGAACCTCAAACTTCACAGGAACCATCAAAAACGAGACATGATAGAGGCTTGAGAGAGTCAATGGAGTTAAGCCGCAGCTTTGGCATCGCCTGACTGTGGGTTTAAAGTGTTGTTATGGTCTGAATCCTGCTCAGCAGTTCTTTGAGTTCTGAGGTGTAATGAAAGTTTTCATTTGTGCTTTCTTACAGGGATGCTATCCTGACCAGCACAATAAACTGCGTAACCAGTTTCTTCTCAGGGTTTGCCATCTTCTCAGTACTGGGGTATATGGCTGAACAGCATAAAGTCAATATAAAGGATGTGGCCACTGAGGGTTTGTTTTCCCACATTTTTTTTTTTTTTAATTAATAACTTTAAAGAGCTGCTTCATGTTTTTCGGTGCTATATTGTGCTTTTCTTTTTGTGGTTAAGCAGAGTGTGACTCCAGACACACTTTTTGTGTTGTTTTGTCTGGTCTATGCAGTAATTGTTCATGTCTGTGTGCAGGAGCTGGACTCGTATTTGTAATCTACCCAGAAGCCATCTCAACACTACCAGGAGCTACATTCTTTGCTATAGTCTTTTTCATCATGCTTCTGACCCTTGGAATTGACAGCTCTGTGAGTAAAGTGTGGTCTTATAATGCCTATGTGTACGTACAAAGAATATGGGTAGCACATTATTTTAATGGTCCCTTAGACACCTATTTCAAGTACTTAAACTATTCTTTCGCATAAAAACTGCGGGGAGTGTGTTCAGACAGGAAATTTCAAGCATAAAAAGTTCACTTTAAACACTTGGTTGATACCCAGAAAACATTAAGCGAGGAATGTTCATGTTGGAGCTCAGAAAAACTATAGTCATCTGCGTCTGTCAATGTGGAGTGTGAACTGCTCTTTTTTTGTTATTGTGTTATATTCTGTTTAGATGGGCGGTATGGAGGCAGTACTCACTGGCCTTTCTGATGACTTCAAAATCCTAAAGAGAAACAGAAAGTTATTTACATTCGCTACAGTTGTGGGGACATTCCTAATGGCCCTTCTGTGCGTCACAAATGTAAGTCTGTTTAGACTGTCAAATGTAATTTTGGGGTCAATACCTAACTGTGTTTAGGCCAACACAATCTCACGGCAATTTGTAACTTTTTGATTTAGTGGCTAATCTGTAGTCATTTTTTATGATCTCATTCTTACATTTTTAGTATGATTTGCTCATTCCCCAATGGTAGGGTTAGCGGTGGGGTTTGGGGACATGGATCCCTTTAAAGAAATCATACATTTGCATATTAAACTGTATGAATTTATATAAATTAGCCACTTTTCTGACAACATGTAAAATAGTTAAGTTTCCTTATGAGATCGGGCTGGTTTAGGCATAACATATTTTGAGAATACTATGAAATGCATGTTTAATATGCTTTTAAAATGGATTGTAAATGGATTGGCCCTGTTTACACTAATGAATTTTAGTTTTAAAACGCATAAGTTTTGCTACGGTTAGGTCTTTTGTCCACACTAGCCCAGAGTTTTCAAGCCCTAATGTGAAAATGAAGGCATGGCTGCAGATAGTCTTGCATCCGTTCCTTGTAAGTTCAGACTTTGCAAGGTTGATATTGAAAAAACTCCTGAAGACACGTCTGATAAATCTTCAAAAGGAACAGTTTACTTTATAACGTCATTCGCATCACCCTGACTACACTTTCAGAAATAAAGGTATAGGAATTGTCACTGGGGTGGTACCTTTTCAAACGGTATAGATTTGTACTTAAAGGGTCCATATTGGTACCTCAAAAGTATATATCAGTAACTAAAAATTTTAAGAGGAACACTTTTGTACTTGTTGGGTACTGATATGTTCCCTAAAGGTATTAATAAGGACCATTTAGGTACAAATTTGTACCTTTTGAAAAGGTACCACCCAATGACAGCTCACATACCTTTATTTCTGAGAGTTTACACTGGTACGTTATCTTTTTTATTTTTTATTATTATTATTTTTTAAGATTTATTTTTGGCCTTTTTGCTTTTATTAGATAGGACAGTATTTAGACAGGAAGCGAAGTTGGAGAGAGAGAGGGGGTAGGGAAATGTCCTAAAGCCAGGATTTGAACACGGGACGCCCTGACATGCTACTGCACCATATGTGGACGCGCTAACCACTAGGCTATTGCGCCGACAATGGTATAAGTAAAACGTATTAGTGTAAATGGGGGCCTGTGTCTTTAGTATCAGTATTGGATTGCTACACTGTGGATCATTTCATAGCATACAGTCAAGTCCTTGTGTCATCCAAAACACTTTTATCCAACTGAAAATGGCAGCCACTCTTCTGAAAACAGCCTTTGGTATTTTGCCAATAGTTGTTTTTGAATATAAAAATGTAGACAAAATGTGAAGTGCTTGCTCTGGTTCTAGTTTTGAATGAAAGTAGACAGACCACCAATTGGTCCAGTTTGGTTAGTGAATGTGGTATTGGACCCACCCCTTTTCCACTGTGAATTGATGACTGGGTAAAAAAAAACTACAAAAAGCACTGAAATAACACAAAGAACATGTTTTCACTCTGGGTAACCTGAAAAAAAGAAGAAGAAGAAGAAAGAAAAAAAAACAGCTCTCAGCATGAAACAGATAGTGTCTCATCAAGATGTTTTTCCCTTCTTTTCTTTTCTTTTATTTTCTTCTTATAAGTTAGCCTATGAAAAAATGCTTGGGTGGATACACAGGCTTAGCGGATCACTTTGATAATATGATGGATAATAATTGGTGCATATGTTTGTGTGTGTAAATACATCATTAGAACAGACTGATGTCCACAATGCAAAATTATATGTAAAAAATATAATGATGAATTTCTTACTAGAAGTCCTTTATCCAGCAGCATTTTGTCTTGTATTTTGGTCATTACAGGGAGGGATCTACGTGTTGACCTTATTGGACAAGTACGCTGCAGGGACGTCCATTCTGTTTGGCGTACTGTTTGAGGCCATTGGAGTATCTTGGTTCTATGGTGAGCAGATATGATCTGCATACATTACATGTTTAATCTTCATTCATTTTAAATTGTTTACTGTTGAAAAAGAAGCCTATTATTACATCATTGTGAATATAAACATATACAGGCAAACAAACACAAACAGTTCAAAACCTCAGGAGTTAAACATTTCAAGATTGACACTGCATTCCATGGTGTTGCTTCCTGACATCCAACGCTTCTCATAACTTTCGAACACAGTTCTGTCTGAGAGTGCAGTACAGAGAGTTCAGATCTTTGTTGATACTGAAAGAAGAGAAGACACAAATCAGATAAAGGTCTTGGGTGCCTTTATCTTGATATGATGTCCAGATGCTGTTAATTTCTTTGTGTCTTTGCCCCATAGGCGTGGACAGATTTAGTGAAGACATTGAACGCATGATGGGCTTCAAACCAGGGATCTACTGGAGGCTCTGCTGGAAGTTTGTCAGTCCAGCGTTCTTGCTGGTGAGTGAATATGGACATAACGTACATAACTCGGACCTGATGTCATTTGACTTTCATGGATATAACTATAATTTTCAGGAAAATAAGTTATTTCAAAAACATTATAAAATAGAAAAGCCCTCAACTGAAATAAATGTGATTTCAAACATTATAAGCTTTCGTTTTTACATGTATTACTCCCTTATTTCACAACAAAAGTTTTAAATTCTGCTGAATTCAAAACAGAATGAGAAATGAAAAGTATGAGTCTAAAACAAACCAAAATTATAGTGGCATTCACTATAAAAAAGCAGTTACTATAAACTACAAGGCTAAAATAATTGATTTGAGGAAACACTTAAACTAGTGGTGTGTGGGAAAAGTGCTCTAAATACCCGTGCACATATTTTTCTGTGTGTAATGTAAGGAAATTTAAGATGATAAAAAGAAATGTGACAATAGAATGTCAATTTCTCTGCCACCTTGTTAGTATAAGATTGATTTGACCACTTAACCTAAAAAGTGGTTTGATTTCTGGTACCCTGGAATTGGGGCTTTGTTAATTGTTAATGTAATTGTAAAAGAAAATCAGACTTGGGGTTGCACTCGCTCATGAAGTTATGTAACCCATGGATGTATTTTAGGTATTGATTAGATTGAGTAGGCATTGTAATGGTGCAGTATGAATGGTATAAACATCACAAATGAATGGCTTTTAATCAGCTTTCTTCTCAAAAGGTTTCAGTTGTACATTATACGCATACAGTGCTCAGTATAATCGAGTACACCCCATTTTGAAAATGAATATTTTAATTATTTTTCTCAGTGAATGTGTGCATTTGAACAGATTTATTTAATACAATTATTTTTAGTCCCCAAACGTATTTAGAAATTGAAAGATAAAACTATTAAATTCAAGCAAAATATTGCCAAAAAATTACAACCCATAAAATTTCAACTAAAGTTTAAAGTTTTTTGCTTCTCTTAATTTTTCCCCATTTTTAATTTGTACTTCTTAATTTGTGTTCCCCTAATATATATGTTTGGGTGTACTAGTTTTTGTATTGTTATCGTAAGTTATTTTGTTAGATTAGCTCCAGATTTGGCTTCAGTACCATCTAATCTAATGTACATGCACAAATATAATATTGTTTAGCTTCCTATTAAATATTAATTTGAAGAGACATTTGTGAGGGGTGTACTTATATGCTAAGCACTGTAATAGCACACAATTAAAAAGGATTCCCTCTCTCTCTATTGTATTTTCTGATATGTCAGTAATTATGTCTATTATAATGAATGCCAGCATGCCTAGAGTGATTGTTTTTTTTTTTACTTATATTATTTTATTTTCTAAAAGTAGAATTGACGTGCAGTGCATCTGGAACTGTAAAACTTGATCAAGTTTTTGAAACATCTCAAGGATGATCAGTGGAAACTGATACACCTGTTGCAAAAGCTGTGAATACTTACGTACACTGTAAAAGATGCAGGGTTCCACACAATTCATTAATGTTGTCCCAACACAAATTGATTAAGTTAACTTAACACTTTTTACAAATTTATGTGGATTGAACACAAAAAATTAAGTTGTCCCAATGAAATCTCAAGAATTGTTTCCTTTCAGCTCATTTTAAATAAGTGAACAAGTAAAAAAACCATGTTAGTTTTTATAAATATGCAAAGATGTCAAATAAACTTCTTTACATTGTCATTGTGACCTATTGTTTGTAGACTTTTGAGAATTTTTTATTAATTTTAGAATAAAGCTATATAAGATAAAAATGTAAAGGGCTCTGATAGCTTTCCAAATGCACTGTACTGTATGTAACCTAACCTAAAACAATAGTACTTACAGAATGGCTGGGAACTGTTTTACTCATTGTTCATATAGAACAGTCACCTCATTTGAACTGGAAATACAGCTCAGACTATTGAGTTTTATTATTCATTTAGTCTCAGCAAATAAAAACTGCTTTCCTATGCTGACAATTTTACTCAATTTGCAATATAGCGAACTATTCCTTATTGTTTCTGTACTTCCTGAATTCTCTTTTCTGTGCAGTTAGTGGTGATCGCCAGCATTGTTACCTCCGGACGACTGACATATGATGAATATGTTTTCCCATACTGGGCAGATATGCTGGGCTGGAGCATAGCATTGTCTTCTATGCTGTTTGTACCATTTTACGCCATCTACAAATTCTTTAGTGTGCCAAGCAGTTTTAAAGAGGTTAGTAAACCCACACACACATTGACAATTACTTACTGATATTTTTACATACAGCAATTTATAAGAACTATGCATTTTACAATATTAATATGTATCTCACTTCTATGTACAAGTTTGTCCCCACTACACCTTCATTTACCCCCAAATACACACATTCAGACATAAAATACTGGGTAGTCCACATTTTCATCTGAAAACAGAAATGATAGGTATACTGTAGTTCTAAACATTCAGCTCTTGAAGACAAATTCACTTGGTCCTCCATTAGTGGAGAGGCTCTTATTGCTTATTTCACATATACCCTTCATTGGGGGCTGCAGACTGATCCAAAGCTGCCTTTCCACTGTACACGACAAGCGACAGACCTGAAGTCATAAATTTCCAATTATCTGCATATGCGGAAAATTCGAATCTGATTTGAGCTGCGAATCTGTTAAAATATTTTAACTCCTGCGACTAGACCATATGCGACCGGCCGACTGGAAGTGATGTATTCCAGTGTAGTCCAAGCATGTCCATACATGCCAGATGAGAAAATACTTTTTTTTTTCGTAATTTTTTGAATCAGAAAAAAAGTTTATATTAAAAAACATTCTATTCATAAATGAGTAACAAATAATATAATTTTTTTTAATATTGTCTCCACATTTCCTCCTAATTTTTTTTGCGGTCTATGAGTTTCTAGTATTGTATTCATTCAAGCATGGTAAACACATGGAGTGTAAAGGCTCTTGCATTTGCATCTCTTTATTTCGGACACTGCAAGAATCAGCTTCTCTCCCATGGTGCACAACAAAACTGAAAATTCTGTGTGACTGCCACAAGGGGGCGTATTTAGACAGGCGTGTCCAAATGTCATGTGCAGTGTAAAGATGGCTTAAGTTCTTTGCCCTGCAGTGAGTTTCTCTATTCTATTGTTCTCACTGTTCCTCTTCATCAGGGGGGTAACCTGTAGACTGCCCACCATCATGCTAAAAGCCCTGGTATGCTTTAAACAAAATCAAAGACTGAACTGAAAGCTTCTGAAATTAATTGTTTCATGAACCCAGCCAGACAGGGATTTGCACATTATATATAGATATAGCTGCAATAGTAACAATTATGCATTGGATTCTTATTCATCTTGACATTTAACACTTTATTTACCATTCACTTTCTTTTGGCTTAAGGCTGATTTATACTTCTGCATCAAGCACACACGTATACTCCAGAGCAGCTTTCGTGCGGTCGTATAACCCTCGTCGGGACTGATGCATAGCGCAAGTTCTGTGGTTGCTCAGCTTGGTAGTGGAGACAAATGTGGCCAGTGCTGAGAGCCGCGAGCTTGATGGAGGGAGTGTTTACAAGTGTGAAGTCCTGTGAAGGAGCTCCAGATGAAAACTTTCATTTCGTGTTAACTTCATGATTAAAATTGTTGCATGAATGCTGGTTCTTGCCTCTGAAAGAGTGAGTTTAGCTACAGAAAAAACAAAACACCTGCGAAGAAAACCCGACACAGAGGAACATAAAAACATACTGCCAGCTAGTGTTTCAGAAGTGTAATTGCAGAGCAACACAAACAGCAAGCTGAAGTATAAATGCACGACAACATGCAAGGCAGACACTGTGGGTTATGCCGATCACTCGACGCAGAAGTATAAATCAGCCTTTAGTTCCTGGTTTATCGAGGTCAGCCACAACCCAGAACTGAGAGTACAACCCTCAGAGCTGGAAAAAACAGAAACACTATTCCAATCACACACTACAATCAATTTTATTTTATTCAGTTTGCCTATAGCGCATGTCTTTGGACTGTGGGGAAAACCGGAGCACCCTAAGCAAACCCACACAGACACGGGGAGAACATGCAAACTCCACACAGAAAGACTTAAACCAGTGACATTTTTGCTGTAAGGCAACCATGCTAATCACCACCGTGCTGCTTTTTTATGTACCGATTCCCTTCAAATGTTTGTTTTTATATGATTCTATATGTAAGGGAGTCAACGTCATTCACAAATAAAAGGCAACCAGTAGTGACCAAACCATCAGCCATTGTCAATAAACAGCGATAAAGTCTCTGCTGGTGTGAAAGGGGCTTCACGTTGACTGGTGACTGTGATCAGCCCTGTCCCACTCATCACAAAAATAATAATAATAATAATAATATACAACATCGTCAGATTTTTTTAGGTCTTATTTTCACACACTCTTTTGTTTTCATGCATCAGTAAGAACACTTGGCCAATGAACTTCCAAGCTTCAGTAGATTTCATAAAGGCCATCAAGTGTTCAATGTCCTCAATAAATCTCTCCATGACTTAAATCTGTTTCATGACTCGGTGTGGTCCAAGAAATGTGAGATGTTTTCATCTATAAATGTGTCACTTCCCAAAGCCACAAGCACGCTACTGACATCTGGCTCACTTACTGTTCACACTCATATTTTCCACAAGCAGCAATCAAGCTTAAATGGCTTCAGAGATCATCTATCATACGATATGGAGAATATAATGCCACATTGCCATCTGTTTCTATGCAGATAATTAAGTTACTGTTTAGATTTGTTGTTTATTATTGTGGTGTGTTTATGCCTGGAAAAGTAGTTCACTTTGTGTGTTCGATGTCCTTTATTTCAGAGGTTAGCGTATTGTGTTACTCCAGAACATGAACATCACTTGGTGGCGGAGGGCAATGTCAGACAGTTCAAGGTAAGACCTGGGTACAGTGTTAAAAGTCTCAATATATCTATGCAATCTGAAAACACCAAATCAACTTTCCAAATCTAAGTTGATACAACTCTGCATTTTTACGGTGTAGTAAAGAGATTGAAGCCTATTTGCCAAGAAACAGAATTCTTACATGTTTTATTGTTCATTTTGTCTTATTTTTGCAGCTCAAACATTGGTTAACCATCTGATGAAGCAGTCAGGTGGGAATGACCTCTCTAATGCTACTTGAATGCTGGAGAAGATGTGGTGTGTGTGAAAGAGAAAGGTTTCAGCAAAGGTCTCATGCCATGTGAAAGTATCCCCTGAGAAAAGGACAGAGCGATGCGATGGCTTTGTGCGTTTCCCAACCACACACTATACTGTCCGGTCTGCTCCATTTGTGTTCAGTGGTTGACTTGACTTTTTTATATTGTAAAGCAAAATAAATGTTACGCCTATACTTTTTTAAAATCATACAATTGCATTTTAGTGTTAACATCTCTCTAAAAACATCAGAAACCTTTTAAAACTTTTAAGATGTTCCACTTTTGTGAGACTTTACTTGAAGGGGCGGTTCATAAGACTGTCGTGAAACATTTATTAACATAATATGACATGTTATAAATATGAATGAAATTTTATGACTTCTTATGACAACTGTTATTAAGTGTCATTCACTCAGTTGTCATTTTAAATGAAAAGGTGACATTGTTTGAGATGTCTTTATCATGACCTGACATAAATACATCATAAATTTTGTCTGTCATGACAACTTGACACTACCAAGACAACATAATGTGTCATAAATCTGTTGTAAACATGTTTGATGAGGCCATTAATATATTGTCAACCACATTTTTAACATTTTCTCGACCACAACTACAAAGGTAAAAATTTAATTTGCCATTAATATGTCATTAAACATATTAACAATGCAGTTATTAAATTGTTTGACAGAGTATTGACACATTGATTTTAATTTTAATTACAAATTAATTTTGTTCCACTGAAAAAACTGATCAGAAAATCATTCATGACACAACTATAATGGTCTCATAATGATAATGTTTATGACAGATTTATGACAAGCTTTGCTGTCTTGGTATTGTAAAGTTGTCATGACAAAGACATCTTAAAAATTGTTATCTTTGCATTTAAAATTACATTTACAACTGAGCAAATGACACTTGATGAGTTATCATACTAATAATAAATTAAAAAAAAATATATATATTCTTCATTGATGACGTGTTTTATCATTATTATAAAGGTGTCATGACAGTCTTATGAACACCCCCTTCAAGTAAAGTGTCACTTTTTCCTTTTAAACACTTTTTTTGGGGTCATAGGTTTGCATTTCTGTAACTGTTTGTGAAATGTAAACAACGAAACAAACTAGAGCTATATTATTCTGTATGGCCGGGAAGTTGAATGTGTGTCTATTTGGAGTAAGTGGGTTTGACAGGTTATCTTGCACCGTATTCGTACTGTAGGTCTAGGTAACACACTAAGAAATGGAAACCCCCTTGATATTCCTGGAAATCTTTACGCCGTTAGACAGGCTTGGAGAGTTTTGAGCCATTGCTACAGTATATGTTAGCGTGCAGCTGTGAGTTTCTCACAGTTTACCTTGTTTCCCAAGAATGGTTTGGTTTCACAACAGCTGGCTTACATCAAGGGTCCACCACAAATTATCTCGAGCACATCTTTTCCCTTTTGGACACACCTCACAAAGCAGACATACACCACTGTGTCAGTGCCTTATCTAGCCATAAACTTCCTGTGATTGAGTCACTCATCCTCATGAAGAGAGTGCATGCATGTTCTTTATGACTAAAGCACCTCATTGAGAGGGAGTCTCAATTAACTTCACGCCAAGGGAACTTTATACTTATAGCTATCAAATTGAACTTATATCCAGATTTTAGATTAGAGCTTCCTCTTCTTATAGGCCAATATTTAAAAAGGGATTTTGTTTTTGAGTCCAGGGATCAACATTTACTTATGCCTTGCAGAGGAACAATTATTAAAAGGTTTATTTCGCTGCCTTGTGTCGATTCAAGAATAAACAATATTGTATGAGAGGACCTTATGAGCCCCTAAATAGAACAATTATGAGCCAGATTTACTAACAGCTTGTTCCTGTGGACACCTTCTTTTGGCATTAAAAATACTATATTCAGGGTTTACTTAAGACAGAAAAAAGCTATGAAAAGTACGGACATTTTATTTTATTATCATTGTATTTTTTTTTGGTTTGTTTGTTTGCAGCTGATCTTACTGCATTGTAATTTGTTGGACTTTCTCTTGCAGACAACAGATTTGTTGGAGGAGAGTATTTAAATCTTGCAATGTGATGTCCTAAAGCTTGTTTTTTAATTTCTATCCATGTTTTAATTTCCATTCAAGTCTCAGCATCTGTGTTGTTAGTAGATTACCTGCACCTGATCATCACTGGCTCTGTTTGCTTGCAATCCAATGCTAATTTGCATCGGTCATTATGGAAATGAGCTGAGAGAACATCTATGTTTTAATTTGCACATTGTTGCAGGAGTTCAAACTCACATTGGTGCTTTAATAGATTGCACTAATTTGATCTGTTCAGTAAATCTGGCCCTATATTCTAAATTAAAAGTCCTGCCGACCATGTCAAACATTCTTGGGCCACACTAGGCTGGGCTATTAAGTTTGAATTGTGCTTGATATGACAAAAGTTGCATCGATAATCTATTTACACCGTACACTGAAAATTCTAGTAATTGAGCTTTTCGTGGTACATTCCCATTATCACATGGTCCTTTTGAACATTTCAGGCTGTTTATGGGTTGTGTGTGTGTGTGTGTGTGTGTGTGTGCGCGCGTGTCTATGTAAGTGTGCGAGTATAGATAACAAATTAGGTTCTCAATCCAGTCAAGATCATTGATCTGTGTATTTGTTTTGTCTCAAGATAACGCATACATTTTGTGGTTCACTGTGGCTTTCTCATTTTAAGTATTTAAAAATTTCAAAGTGCCAAAATCAACTCCCTTAATGTTTGTTTGTGCTTAATTTATTTGTGTACAATCATTTGAAATACAAAAAAAGATGGTAAACACGATCACTAGTAGGAAGCAAGCAACATATTTCGAATATGAAATATAAAGAGATACAAATCTATTCTTTTGTTATATATCTAATATTGTATGTATCAAATTCTTTATAAAACGTGAATGTAAAACATTTTAAGCAAAGTGTCTACTGTTATATCATGCTGTGTGATGTCGGTAAAGTTATAAATATTCAGAAATGTACTATTATTCCGTGTAACCAGGGGTGACATAACCACATGAATGTAAACGGAGCAGCTCTGGCGTTTCTGAGTGATGCTTTCAGAATAATGTGTACAACTAAAAATTCGTCCTTTTGATTGTGAGTGACAAATATATATGAAGAAGTCAAAATATGCACATTATAACAATAAAGTCAATTCCAGTACACATACAGATAGAACTCAATATTGGTCTTTTCTTAATGTGTGTTTTATAATGTTTTGCTGTGCAGAGGCTGAAAGCACTGCTTCCAGTCTTTCCTTTTTGTGCCTGTTCTTGTTGCAGGACATACTGTGAGCTTTAGCCAGTGCTGGGTAGTAGATTATTTAGAAACCGTAGCCCATTACTGATTACACTGAAATTTTAGTGAGTAGCAATATAGATGACATATTTTAGGTAATGTAATTTTAAAAAGTGATTACTTTTAGATTATTTTTAACCTAATTTATCAAATTGATTTGATTATTTAGTACCATGTTTATCTAAAATATAAGAAAAATCAATTAGCACCTCCATTGTTATCAAGTACATCAAGTGTATTAAAAAGTACATTACATCAGGTTCCCCAGAATAAACTGGGGGTTGTGAAAGTGCTGCAGGGAGCTGATAAGATAATTAATTCAATCCCAGCAATAACATTTAAAGATACAGCTGTAGTCATAAACACTTGAACAGATTTTTTTGTTTGTTTACCTGAATGTCATGTGACCATCAGAGACTATGACAAAGCAAATGTGTTAACTTGCTGTGCAAAAAAAAAAAAAAAAAACCTCCAAAAACATTGGCCCAGCAAAAACATTTTTAAAATGTATTACATGAACCAACATTAAATATTTTTGTCCGGATATTTAGGATCCGCAATTAGTAAACAACACTATATATGATAAATACAAATTTTCACAACTATAAATCATAATAATGTAAAAAAAAGTGTATTATGTGAAGTGTATTATGTGAAATTTAGTGTACAGTTATTTGTCTGACTGACTAGTCTGTAGTGTAACATTAAACAAACTTACTGATTTTGTAGTACAGACACTAAACAAAGCATTTTTATAAACAAATCTTGATTTTCTACAGTAAAGCTGACAGCTTATCCCAACCTCATCAACAGTGTGTGCTCATTGGCTGTGTTCTAAATAGCATTTTAATATGTGAGAAAATGAGAGCCTGTAATATGCGAGAAGAGTAGCATGTCATAAAACATGAGTGGGCAAAAAGTGTCCAGATGGATTTGTTTTGGTAAGATTCTGAAATGTGCATATGAGGGACACTTTAATGTCCCATGCAGCCATGGGAGATGATTTGTAAATAGTAAACACAACTGAAGCAACTGCCAATTTTTCTTAATGCACCCTATCCACAATGATACTACTTTTATTGCATGCAAATTTATTCATGTGCACACTCAGATTTTATGCAATGTTGGATATTGATTGCTTAAAGCAGGGGTCACAAATCTTGGCCCTGGAGGGCCGGTGTCCCTGCAGAGTTAAGCTTCAACTTGCCTCAACACACCTGCCTGGAAGTTTCAAGTATACCTAAGGCCTTGATTAGCTTGTTCAGATGTGTTTGATTAGGGTTGGAGCTAAACTCTGCAGGACACTGGCCCTCCAGAAACAAGTTAGGTGACCCCTGGTTTAAAGTAAAAATGATCCAGAACTTCCTACAAACTTTACCTCAGTATTGTACTATATTTTCACCTGAAATTGAAAGCTAGTGTAATAGAATAGAATAGAATAGAATAGAATAGAATAGAATAGAATAGAATAGAATAGAATAGAATAGAATAGAATCAATCCTCCTCACCATCTCACTCGCAGCAAAGGGAGTGGCTATAAAGGTCATATATATATATATATATATATATATATATATATATATATATATATATATATATATATATATATATTCATTTTTTATATTCTTAAGCATAACAAAGACGATTATCAAACATTTTTTATTACTGTAAAATAATTTGGTCCCACTATATTTCTTATATTTTTTAAATTAACAGCTTTATTCATTAGTGACTACTTGCTTAGCTACACACACACACATATATATATATATATTTTTTTTATTATTATTTTTTTATTTACTGAATTTACTAAACATTTTTAAGTTAATTGGTTGCAAATAATTAAC